GAGCTCCCTTAGGTCTTTGCCCCCCCCCCAATCCAAAACTGCTTCCGACGCGCCTGACCTCACTTACGAAAAGAAGACCGGCCAAATTAAACTGATCAACTGAATCGCAGTATTACAATTGAATTTGTCTTTATTTCAGTGAGGCGAATCAGTTTTTGTTTAAACTTTATTTTCTATTTTTTTGCCTTCTAAATCTTAGGGGGGGCGACTGCCCCCATCGCCCCCCCCTGGCAACGCCACTGGGCATGCGATGGGGTGGGATATATGGCATGCGATGGGCTAGATACAATAAATTGACGTCACGGTGATGAGCTAATTGCGCACTTTCCTACTAACTTTCAGGGCCGTATCTAGCGGGGAAAAGGGGACAGTTTCCCCTCATAAAAAATTAGATACACGCACGTACGTGCATGGTTTTGCCCTATGCAAAATGGGGTACCTGCCTACCGCCCTGTATACGTACCCTTACACGTACCGTCAATGCATACATAAGTATAATAACACATAATGCGTATAAATAAACACATAAATCTATACCCGTCATGGATTGAACTATATAATACGACCTAAAAGTGAGCGGAAAACGTCTTGCCGGTCGGAAAGTAGAGCTACCATCTACATTAGGAGGCCGGTGCGCAGCGATTTTATTCCTATGAATATGTTACCAAACACAATACCGATGAGCACTGTACATTCACGCGGGAAAAATGGCGGGACTCGCAGGAGGCGACGAAGTGAGTTTATCTCATGATAAGTTAAGAGAATACATATGTTCGGCAAACGATGCAGTGCATATCAAGTTAGTCTCGCAGGAGAGTGATTTGTCTAACGATGCTACAACATTTAAACCAGAAATGTCTCACCAAGTGTTTGGAGAGAGCGAGAGAATATTTGGATACAAAGATCTCAAGGTGAGTACCTACTGTAGCCTAGACTGTAGTCTTTAGGCCTATAGTCTGTACTGTAGTCTGTAGTCTAAAAAGTCTGTACTCAGAGTCAGTGTACGAAAAGTGTTTAAATTTGTATTGGTTGTGCAAGTTTTAAAGGCCTAGTGATATTAGAAATACAGCCAAACCTGCATAGCAAGACGGGGTCGTAGTTTCCAGGGGTGGCATTGGCAAGCTAGTGCCGAAGTGGCCCAGGCCCCAGACGAATTAATCAATTATTTATATAATACTATTACTATTGTTTAATAATAATATACATGAACAGAACAGTCTGAACAGTGTCAGTGAAGCTGAGAGGGTCTATGTCCCCTGGGTACGGTCCGGTATACCGGCATACCATCTGAACATTATGTTCGTGGGTACTGTGCGTAACTACTCTACTGATCGCCTAAATAAAAATGTACAGTGCTTCAGGACCCCAACACTGTGCTATCAAATTGTGTGCAAGTTGTATAAGTTAGCTAGGAAGAGGAGAGAGACAGGCTGGAACGTATAGCAGCTACCTAGCATAGGTATAGCAGTTCCTATAACCCTAACCCTAACCCTTGTTTACTTGAGATAACGCTGAAAATTAAAAACTGCCGGGCATTTAGGAAATCGAAGACCGTGCCCGGCTGCCGGGCATATAGCCACTCTGTAAAAGTTAATAGCCCCCGATCGAGGCTAGTGTACATTGAATGTCGATAGCATGAGGTGAACACATTAAAGATTGCTGCTGTGCAGTTGAGGCCCACTCGAGAAATGGCAATATAGTGGTACCTAGCCGCATTGAGTAGGTATAGCGGGTCTGCACAGTGCTTACAGCCCAGTATTTCCATCAGGGTAGTTTAAGCAGGGCCTGAGCTATAAACAGGTGGCTACTAACTTAGGTTTAACTGTATACTAATAATAGTACTGAGTATTCTTTGGCTTTTTCCCAGTTAGAGTCAGACTGCTAAAATCATTGCGTACAGGATTGGTCATGTTTAAAATTAAATCAATCGATCATGCAGTCATGTAAGGTTACCTGCCATATGCTTTGTTGTGGACTAATGGAGGCTACTGTTGTAGTCACTCTTGTGCACAAGCAGATATGGCTATTCACAGTTCAGTGATGGAAACCTACCTCAATAATTAGTAGCCATATGGGCCCCTAAAGTAGTAATTCTAGGGGTCCAGCTTATAGTGTGACCCAACGAAATTTATAGGGATACATTTCTCTAGGTTCTTCAGATATTTTCAGCTAAGGTAGGTTAAAATTACGCTTCATAAAAAGTTTTATGGTTCAATATTTATTAGAAATATTTTTAAAGAACGTTTTAAAACTGACGGCTATACCGTTGCTTACAACGACGGTGGCGCCACTGGCAGCGACACCACTGAAAAGTTGCGCAAAGCAACATTTCGGCTGCAGGCTACAGATCGAGGGTGTTTCTTGTTTAGTAATAAGCATATATTATAGTAAAAGTATAAGTATAGCAGAAGGATTGAAATATCTTATAAACGACATATAGTTTCAGTTATAATATGGATAAATTTGTCCTAAAATAAATATCGTTCGGTTAAATAGCATTTAGGTATAAATATAATTGGACTTTTGTGATTAGCCCTCGGTCTGTAACGTGCAAAATAAATTGGCAAATGCGCAACTTTTCAGGGTGGCAGCACGGTCGCGGGTGTCATGTCAGCGCCCAAAACTAACGATTTCGAAATTCAATGTTGTTTTATTTCAAACGTGAATGCGTAATTATAGATAATGATAGGTATGTGCTATTATTTATAAATCTACTATCATAATATTTTCTCAAATATTATGAGAAAACCTCTAGAGGAAAGTATCCCTTTAAGATTTGTTTTCTTGGTGGTTGTCACAAAAATTGTGCTCTACTATGCATCTAGGTACGTCTACATGTTCCTATGAGAAGTTTTAAGCATGGGTTGAATTAGTTTTCATTTTAGTGGTAAAAAATGTTTTAGTATGGTAATAATTATAGTAAGCAAATTTTAGTAGTGTAACCATGGCACTGAAACTAGTAATTATTTCACTGACTATGTAATTTATAGCTATGAAAACAAATCCTCACACTCAGGCGACTTTTCGATGAAATTCTAGTAGCCAACTCTATTTTTACTCGCCTTGAACGACTTGGCGACTGTTAATATTCATCACTGCTGTTTCAGATTGAGCTGTATTATAGCGCATGCAAGCTTATAACATACCTACACATGACTTACTCAGAAAAAGTAGATGCGAAACAGTTGGGTGTAGAGGCAGACAATGTGTTGAAAGCTATAGCACACCATCTTCCTCCAGGTAAGTCTGTAATTCTATTTAAATGTTAGACTGAAACTAGGCCTTTAGCTGTTGTGACGTCTCGCATACACCTATATATAATGGAAATTACAACTGCAGGTGTATCCCTAATTTTAACCCAAACCATAAACGATTATTCTTATTTTCACATTTTACACTGTAGCAGTCGTGCAAGATGTTTCAAATTTTTGATGATGCTTAGCCACTCTGTAAAGGTACCTGGCGAGTACAGTGATTTATTAGAACATTGCTACATAACACGATAAAAATTAGGATTCTGCTACATGCACTAATACATGGTGGTAAATGCTTGTCATGAGCTCATCAGTGCATTTGTGTGTTTTGATGTACGCGTAATGCTTAATTAATTTGTGAAAATTCCTGATGTCATTAATTTTTTAGGCTTTTGCCAAACCCAGGAAGATTTTGTAATGAAACTTCAAAAGGATGCAGGTTTTAAGCCATATGGACAGATGCTTAGCTCGTACAAGCTGGAGAGATGTATGTACACGTTCATGTCTGAATACAGTAAAACTTGCATAAGTCGACACTTGGGACCAGCATATTTGTGCCGACTTACAAAAATGATGACATACGCGTAAGTCGTCATTTTGTCGACTTATATGTAGGGCTCCCCTCCCAGGTGCCCATCACGCCTACGCAGTCATAAACATGCTCCACACACGACGTCCGTTTGCGCCACATACATAGCAGACATGAAACTATCGGGTCCGTACATCAATCAACACCGCTGCTGGCTATAACGCACTGATCTTACGCACTAGCGGCAAGCGCGGCACACGCTGGCTATCTGTAACACCTGCTGTTGATTACACGTTTGGACATTACAGGACATTTGCGGTGCACGTCTGCCAAATTTTCTTGGAACACTTGCTGAAAAAATACGGTAATTCCGCGAGGCTGTGCTCTGGAACGAACTGTAGTAAGTGCATATTTGCGACAGCCAGCTCGCACATCCCCTAGACCGTACACTGCGTGCGCCATCGGCATTTCTGAAGACGACTTACAGATGGGAAATTACTGTTGTTTGTTTTACATGCGACCTGTCTGAGGGGAACGACTTGTACATAATGACGACTTATAAATGATGACTTAGGCGGAGCTATTCCAATGGATTTATTATGAGAGAAAATCGGGACTTTGACTTCCATGACGACTTATGCGAATTGACGAGTTGGACGATGACGACTTATGCGAGTTTTACTGTATTCAAATTGAAATGTATTGTTGTTCCTATAAGTTCTTCATGATGGGTATCATGTATTCTTTAACTGTACGAATAAATCATATGTTGTAAATAATAAAAGCTGCTAAATATAGTTGTCGAATTTCTGCTATCTGCAGAAGAAAAAACCGTCTATTTCGTACAATCCTCTTTTAAAAACGACAAATTGTTTAACGTACAGGTGGCAAGCAGAAAACATTCGAGATGTACAAGTGTGATATCAGCTGCCCAGGCTTCAAGGAGTATCACGCACGACTTCAAACGTTCATCCTCTGGTACATTGACGCGGCATCCTTCATCGACATCGACGACGACCGCTGGCGATTCTACCTACTATTCGAAAGATACCAGCAGGACGGACGGCCGAGGCACGCCGTCGTCGGCTACATAACCGTGTACAACTACTACGCGTACCCGCAGCGGCTGCGACCGTGCGTCAGTCAGATGCTCGTGCTGCCTCCGCACCAGCAGCAGGGTCATGGCACGCGGCTGCTGCGCGCCGTCTATGCCGACCTCGCCTCGCGCGCCGACGTGCTCGACATCACCGTTGAGGACCCGTCCGAGGACTTCCAGCGCGTGCGCGACTACACCGACAGCAAGATCTGCGCGAAGCTCGACTGCTTCGCGCCGGAGAAGCTCCAGGGCGGCTGGTGCGAGGAGATGGCGAAGACCGTGCGTGAGAAGACGAGGATCAATCGCAAGCAGGCGCGTCGCGTCTACGAGATCCTGCGGCTGCGAACGACCAACGTGCACGACGCTGCCGACTATCGCGCGTATCGACTCGACGTGAAAAACCGTCTGAATAAGCCGTTCAGTCGAGACAAGATGTACGCGGAGAGGATGCAGAAGGCATTCTCTACGGAAGAGGTGGCTCAGGCTGTGGGTAATCTCAGCAATGCTGATCGACTAGAAAAACTGCAGAAGATGTATGAGGAGTTAGAGAAGGAATACAGACACACGATTGACAGATTGGACAGGGCACGACTGTAATTGGGTGCCAGGTAGCCCTGTAGTTTGTGCTATTTGTGTGTGGAAAGTCGGACGAAACTCATAAAAATATGTTGTCGAAACAAGTAGTTGCATCCAAGTTAAAAGCTTGCATGGAAGTTTCAATGTAATAGAAAGTTGTTAAAACAAACAAAAATTAGCGTCGTGTGAGGTAATTTTGGTAAACTCAAAATATGAAATTGGTATGATGTATGAAATAGTACATAAAAGTGACTGAAATTATTTAAAGGTTGATGCAGATTCTGTGATTACTTGTTTACATCTACTTTAATTGTGTGTGCATGCGTGCGTGTGCGTTCATGCATGTGTTTGTACGTGCGTGCTTAATCATTCAATTAATTGCTTAATTGAACTCTGATGGGGTAGTTTATTTCATTGATAAGAACGAAATAAACAAACTGAATCTCATTCATGGTTTATGACTCGGGGTTCCACTAGCTACACGTTAGAACTATTTCAGTTGTGTCTTATTGGGAAAACATAAGTTATCCTGCAGCATTCTTCCACACGAGCCTCTATAATAATGAAATATAGTGAGATTTCAGATAAGTAGAAGGGAAAACGTGGACGGTCTTTATTTAGCTGTAGTAGCTCAAGTAAAACAGTGAAGTTAACTTGACGCTCCATTTCTATAAGGGGAAGGTCCAGAAGATGAGCCCCTCACCAATTTTGTGATGGCAAAGTGGGTTTTTCCAGTAATATGTTGTGATAAGTTGCCGTAGTTGATATGGAATCAATGAAGTACTTCAAAATAGAAAATGTATACAGTCAAAATCCAGGTCAACTGATTAGTGTTATATGAAAGAAATCTGTGCGGATTGAGCTACCCTCAACTGTTTTCGAGTCACATTCACTTGACCTCTGCTCATATTTTCTGGATGCACTCACGTATGCGTATTATCAAGAGCGCATTAACGGGTTGGTATTATATGTGCGTATCATGAACACATTCATATCCAGTATAGATGTAGAACTATCAGGAGTGATTAATAATAGATCTATTATTATACACTCCTGGAACTATGTATATTATATGTTTATGCGTATATACGCAGTACAACGTGCGCGAAAAACTTTTGGAATATAGAAATCGTAGTATTCCTTCGATTCACGGGCAAATTAATGTTATGCGCACGCGCTCACGCACACGCAATACCCAAGTACAGGCACGCGCGCACGCGCGCAAGCGCAACACCCATACAGCCACACATAAGCGAACACACTATAATAGTTATGTTTTTGCCATAGAAATACTGTATACTGAGTCTAACTACTACTGTAGTATATTATTTCTATGGTTATTGCCATGAGCATACAATTGTATTATTCTGCAGTAAATAAAAGCAATTTGTTTGTATATATTCACTTCTGTTAGTATGATCTCTATGCACGCGTATTTTGCGGCTCGTTACTGTGGATTTCCACCAGAAAGCTACACGTTTTTGTACCCGCGATGTATGATGTGTGTAATAAGCGAGTGTGCTTGTGCATGTGCGTCCGTGCGCGCGTGCGTACGCGTGTGTACAGAATATGACGTCACGGGTGGAACCATGGGCGACGAGCTTCCTGTATATCACACTATCAACAAAATAACTCGTTATTAAATAAGTTCATTCGGTTGGTAGATAATAGATCTATCTTGGTTAATTTTTTTTTTTATTAACAAAATAATGTTACCATTTTTAGGCTGTGGACATGAACAAACATGTTTGACCCTATGCCAGAATAGAGAGAATCGGACGAAGGGGCCTTATAATTATTAAACAGACACTACAACAGATATTTTCATACGGAACTGTTAGTTGATATGTGCTATGTATATTTTACTTGGCATGTGCAAACGCATATTTAGCTGTTTCGCGTGGCACAACGCTTGCTCTCTATCATTTAATTAGAATGCGATAGTGCGGTAAATACCATCAAGATGTTTTGCCGACAAAGCAATGAAAAAATCTCATCTCCAATGTTAATTTCTTCCACGTGGGGGATTTTTTTTTCAAGAAATTATCGCTATTCCTTTTTTTTAGTTATTGTAGTGTTAGGGTGAGATCCACTGCGTTTTTCTATATCGGATCATATCGTTAATCTATATTGGATAATATTGCGCACAATCGCTCCCGCACGCGCACTCGTAAACGCGAACGCGAAAACACCTTTTGGTATAACCGCCAAAACGTTCCGACGCGAATGATATGTGTATATGCTTATGTTATACGCGTGCGTGTGCATGAGCCAATCTAAAAGGGAGGGGTCAGCTGGGATGAGATTTTGACTGAATTGCAATATTTAAATGATGACGTGACGTGACGTGATGACGTGAATAAAATCGATGCATTAATGCTGTTAGAATTCACTAATTACATTCTCCTAATTTAACGATGTATTGTATTCGAACCTCGATTTTACCACGACCCATCTAACCCCTGCATTTGCGTATAGTAAAATTTTCACGACATCGTGAAACAATTAAGGAATAGAATAAAACTCATTTACGCACATGCCTTCTCTTAAGACGTCAGTGTGAGACAGTTTAATTTGACCAACTTATTCTGACCAACAGTTCAGACAGTTCGCCATCACAATTCTGCCATGCAGACGAATAGACAACACTGGGGTTCCAATAAACACATCACTTCCTTCATAATCCACAACCTGTTGAGACTAGACAGTAATTGGCTTTGCAAAAGATAAATACCTTTTCCTAAAGATTTGACGAGCTTTTAAATGGCTTTGAGGGAGCCATAGTGCTTTCAACACTAAAGATTTAACTTTCTTCAAATTCATTACAAGCGACGGCTTTACTGACAAGCTAAAGCTTGACACTCCAGCACCTAAGTATTGAAGTAAATATGTTAACTTTAGACTAAACAGCTGTATATGCACAATATATTAATTACACACAGATCAGCATTCCAGCTCATATTGGACGTAACATATATTTACACATGAAAATACTGTGTATGTATGTTTTACATATTTTTGCACACAATTTTTATAAAAAGCAATTGGCATATATAGTTTAATAAATAATACCATACAAAACATAAGCTTAAACGGAAGCTAGCAATCGTATGTACATGATACAAGAAAGTTCTCTTAGACAGTGTATGTAAAATTTCACACTTCTGACAACCATTTTTTCTCGACAACCAATTCACGTGTTCTTACCACAAGAAAGTTAATTATCAAAGAAACACACATCTGCATTCTAATATAGCGATGTGCTCTCATAACACGTGTGCATCTTAGTGTTTAGCATGATCAGATATGCACGTGTGTTAGCAGATCATATGGGAGAAACCCCTGAATCTTAGAAGCTCTCATTCAGTTAATGTTCACAACCTGTCATACTGTATCTGCCCGACCTGTACTTTGCCACATAAATTAGATTATAATTGTTCATAGAACTTGCAGCTGCAGTAAACACTTGGCAGGCTGACGTATAAGATAACGAGATGGCTATAAGCAGGAAAATGCTAACTGCACTTGTTTTATTTGTATATATATCTACACACCAGCAGATGGCACTGGTGTTATATAGTTCAGCAATAGTGTGAAATAATTTCCCCTTTTCCACCTTAAATTTTTTTTAAACAGTTTAGAAGAATTCCTCGTCAGCAAATAGGTCTGGTTGTGAATCACCAGCTTGGACAGGGTCATCAAAGTTGAGGCTCGTCACAGACTTTTGAAGGTCATCCACCATGTCTCCACTGCGGTGCTTTGATCGCTGGGGTACAGACCTAGACATCTCTGTAGGAAGATGTAGCGCATCAGACTCAACATCTTTGTCAATTTCTGAAAACAAAAAAAAGCATATATGATACACAATGAAATGACAAAATCTCAAAATGAAAAGATGCATAAAAAGTACATGACAATTGTATACCTTCAAGGTTTCGCTCAACACGCTTCAGGCTGCGAAGAATGGCAGCCATGTTTTTCTGTGGATTTAAAGTGGCCAGTTCTGGCAGCTCATCTGTGTGTTGCGCATCATCACTACCTGTTGCCATCCCCATATGTTCCCTATAAAATTCATTGTACAATAAATTAACCTCAAGCAAAACATGGGTTCAAACCGAAAAACGCTGATGATTAACAAAGGAAGTACTATTAGTTAGCAATACTACTAATAAATACAAACACAAACACAGACGCATGCACACGCACTCTCACACTTGCTTGCACACACAGACACAGACGCACACGCGCACGCGCACGCGCACGCGCACGCACACGCACACACACACACATAGTTGCACCTGGATATACAGGTTCACTCAAATAAAATGCCAAGTGGTTGCACTGTATATCCGGGAGCTCGAGGAAAAGGCAAAGGCTGTCTTTCATAGACAGCTTGGTGCATATTCTACAGAGCTAACTGCTAGCACAGGTTTGATTCTGTATAATTTAAGTAAAAATATGTATTACAAGCAAAGTGATAACTGCATGAACAATGATATATCTATGAAAACGAACACGTGTAGAATTTACATCTCATGTTATGGAAATAATACTGCGTGGCTTACCGAACGCGATAGAGAGTGCGATCAGAGCTGTTGCCAAGTTTAAAGGCCAGCTGAAGGATGGTGGATAAGATCAAACTGTCGAATGTCTGAAACACAAAATAAAACCAAGAAAGCATAAATATCGCATAAAAACTAGCTTAAATGTGTATAAATGTCAACATATGAAAGATCAATAAAAAACCATGATCACATGTTAAATTTCTCTTTTTCTTATTTTTCATAACCAGTAGTAGTTATGACTCTTATCCTTATCTGCCCTTGTAGATGTAATTAATGTCCTAGCTGACAATAAGCAACCAACATGATCAACCCATATCATATACATATCAATGTCCGATTCCTATGCAGGGTTAATGTGAAGACAATGAATAACAATAAGCATTACAAAATATGGTCATCTTCTTTACATTTTTACATTGATCTGCACACTTAAACTACTACTAATCACTCCCATTTATTTTACACATTGTAATTATTCCCAAATCTTACGTTAACGGTTCCTCTGATTTCCATGATTACAACTTAACATTCATGTACTACAGCAAAAATAATCTGATACGAGTGTCCACTTCAATGCTGCAAATCTAGCAATGACTCGCAACTTCAAGCATACGATCAGTATGCGACTAATAATTACATCAGTACCAATCTGTGACATATATACGCCAAAACGAGTACAAAGCACATTTGTCTAGCATAACTGTTCATTATTTTTGCGTCCTCAACACAGGTATTGTGCAGCACTATGAATTGACTACACTCACAGCCACATGCCTATCAACTCATATGCATGTTAGTCGACTTAGTAGCTTGCTTACATTTATTAATAACCTTGACCTTCACTCTAAAACAGGAAGCTTTGTCAGGAAATAAATTCATGCTCAGCTATTCATTAAACCAATTAATAGTTGAAATTATCATATTATGATATAGCATCATCACTGTCACTAGCAGCAGCAGTAGTAGCAAGACCATTCGTATTATTAGTTAGGCCATACTACAAGGCAAATGTCTCACAGAAAGACTCAAATGGGAAGTTCATCTAGGCAACAGACATATCTAGGCATACAGATGAATGGCACAACACGCGTGGTAAATCACAGGCCACTGCTCGCATGCTGCAGACTACTCCGAACAAAACCATGCTGTGCGGCGGAACCATCCTTCTCTACATGACAATATGCTCATGCAACGAACTCCATGCGTGATCATTACAATCTCTCGTGCCTCACGGCCACGTGCAGGGCAACAGTGCACAGGCAGGGCAACAGTGCACAGGCAGGGCAACAGTGCACAGGCAGGGCAACAGTGCACAGGCAGGGTTCAGGTTGAAACGAACCTCCTTGCTTGCGCGGGACGGGCTCCACACGTCCTGCGCGTGCTCCGTGATCCGCCCAAGAACACATGATTGCGCAAACGGTGATCTGAAACCGACTGGCTGGGCCGTGACTATGTTGTGTGAGGCGGTGGCGCCGGCCGGAAGCGAGCTACTCATCGTGTGGCCCGAGAGCCGGGAATAAGCCGTCTTGTGCTGCGTACACAGGGGGTCGGAGCCGAGCCGCTAATCGTGAAAATACGGCAGTGCAACGGCCAGTGAATGCGAGTTCGTGAAACGTACAACCTAGCAACTTCATTCTTCTCACGACACTCAATCAATCGGCAATAAAATAATCGATAAGGAAATCAACACAGCGATCGAGAAATCAACGGTACGACGCGACGTGGGTGCATGATACGACATTTACAAATAAACGAGCACAAAACGAGACCACACATCCCAGCCGGACCCACCGACCGCGGCACGACTCTCGCCTCTCCTCGACGTCGCGCGCACGACAACACCTACCTGCTGCATCCCGCTCGACATGGAGCTGCTGTCGTCGGCGCGCTCGAGTCGTCGCCGCGACGATGCTCGCGAGGAGGCGCCACTGCTGGCGATGCTCAGGCTGTCCTCATCGTCCTCAGTGCTGAGACCGACGATGCTCACCTCGACGTCACTCTGCTCGTTCGATGATGACTGACGGCTGCGGGAGCAACGAGGGAAACGTCGACGAGTCAGCGGACATGTGCATGCACGCAGCATCACGCAGCAACCGTGCATAACTGTGATGTAGACTCCCCCACCCCGTTATCCATATCCCATTATTCCATATCCTGTGGTACATGTTGAGCAGCTATGTAGCAGTATGAGTCAGTTGTAGTAGTAGTAGTAGTAGTAGTAGTCACTGTCGCCGTCGCAGCAGTAGCAGCTGCTGCAGCAGCTGCAGCAGCAGCAGCAGCAGCAGCAGTAGCAGTAGCCGCCGCCGCAGCAGCAGCAGCAGCAGCAGCAGTAGCAGTAGCAGTAGCAGTAGCAGTAGCAGCAGTAGCAGTAGCAGTAGCAGCTGCTGCAGCAGCTGCAGCAGCAGCAGCAGCAGCAGCAGCAGCAGCAGCAGCAGCAGCAGCAGCAGCAACAGTAGTAGCAGTAGTAGTAGTCAAAAAGTAAGTGGATGAATGACCGAATCCCCGGCCTAAGCTTCGCTGGCCCCAGAACAAAAACGTCGAGGGAGTTAACAAAAGTCACCTCAAATAATAGAACGGCGCCATATACAGAGAATCACAAATATGAGATTCCTGTGTAAAACTGCGAATGCTACATGAAAATAGTAAGAAATTAGACGTATCACCTGAGATCACTAGACATCTGCTTCTTTTTCTCTCTGCCCTCAGCGGCTGCCCTCATCGGATCGTAACTTTTCCTTCTATTCCATGCCTTTAACTCTTTCTCCTTGGAGGCACCCTGGCTCACTGGCTTTTTCACCTGCATAATGCATGCACATTCCTGTGTCTTAATCGCCACTTCTATCAACAGACGCAGTCATTCACGAATAGATACATATGTGATTTGATATGAATTGTGAATGATATTGTTATTCAATAAATAACAAACTACAACAATCACGACGTAGCAGAAACGCACTGGATATCCTCGATTTACTGCTAATAAAGAATCGAAAAGTTTGAACGATGGCGAACGTAGCTTTGCGAAACCGATTTACGGCCCGCCTGCGCGCTCACCTGCTTCGTTTGCGAGGCGGCCTTGTGTCGGCTATCACTGGAGGCCGTGGGCCGGCTGAGGTGAGACGCCCTCAGGCTGAACCTCCCGCCGTCATTCCTCTGGAACGCTCCCCTGGCAGCCGCCGGCGCCGCGGAGGGAGCAGGAGTCGCCGTCGTCTTCCCGCCCGTCCGGCCGGACGAGGATCGCGCGCTTCCTGCCGACGTCGGCCGCGCCGTCGCCGCGACGACGAGATCCGCCGCGTCGGCGCTGTCGAGGCGCGCTCGGCGCAGCGCGAACGCGCGATTCGTCTTCATGCCCGTCTTCGCCGGTTTCGCCCTCGCCTCGGCGTGTCCGCCCGTCGTCGACGAGCGGTCGGACGCACCGCCGTCGCTCGCCGCGTCGCGCTCCCGCAGGTGCTCGAACGCCTTCTCGATGCTCGTGTTGTACGCGGCGCCGGCAGGGCGCGCAGAGGGCGCCGGCGTCACGTTGGGCGCGCCGCGCCGCGTCGTGCCCTTCGCGAGCGGCGCGCTCAGGCTGTCCGCGTCGGCGTCCTCGTTGCTGCGCCGCTTGCGCCGCTTCCCCACCGCGTCGTCCGACGACGACGACAGCCGTGCGAGGATCTCCTCGGTCTCGCGCTCGCCGAGCCGCTGCATCATGGCCGCCATCACGTCCTCGGTGTCCTTGAGGAAGGTCTTCGTCTCGAGGCTGTCCGTGCGCGCGAGCGAGGCGGACGCTGCCTCGGTGTTCGTCGGCGTCCGCCGGCCGGCCTCCGCCTCGTCGTCTCCGGCCTCGGGCGTCTCGCTGCCGTCTCGCTCCTCCGTCGGCGTGGCGAGCTCGCCGCTCGAGCCGTCGAGACCTCGCCGAGACGCCCACTGATTCACCCACTTGGGAGCGCTGTCGGGTTCGTCTCTCGGGGGAATCACAAACGTCTGCCGGGAAAGAGAAGCGGACGCTGTAGAGAACGACAGGACAACTCGACGATCAAAGACCTCACCGGTGTTAAAAGTGCGCAGAACTGTTTGCAGACACACTGCCGGTTACTGATTACCACATGAAGCTGTTCTAAAACTGCCACGATAAGCATAAACAAGTATTGTAATGTGATGAATGAAGTCTGCGAAAAGTAAACAAATCGGCACCACCGTTTCGTTCAAAATTTACTTGAGCATGCACAAGCACACTGCATCAGTGTCTAGTCTAGTCTAGGATAGGATAGGATAGTAGTTTTGTACAACGACCAAACGTTTAAAACGACCTGACGTTTAAAAAACGTTATTAATAACAGTTAATATATTTTATAATTTATTATTATTACAATTATATAATTAATGATAACTGTTAAGACCAAATTTCGTATTTATTTGTACCGAAGTCCTAGTTGTAATAGAGTCACACAATGACCTTGCTAGCGTGCCTCGGACTGACCATACGTCGTGTTTTAGTTAACAATACTTTACGATAAAAACTCCCCACCTTTTCCTTTAACGATTCACTTCCTGAGTCGGCGGGTTTCTTCGTGTCTCTCTCCATCGACTTCTCCCTCTTCTCGTTGTCGGCCTTCTCGATGCCCGCGGGATTGCCGGCGTTGCCATCGAGCGAGTCCGCCTCGTCGTCGCTGCTTATCACAGGTCGCTCGAGCCCCTCCGGTGGCGCCATCACGCCGAACACGTCGTCGATGTTCTTGCGGGCGGCGTCGAGCGCGTTCGCGTGGCCGTTGCTCGCGTCGATCACGTACGTGTGGATCGACTCCGTGTCGGCATCGCGCGGCGGCGGCGACGTCGGCGTGCGCTCGGGTGACGGTGGCGCCCCCGCGCCGCCGCCCGGCGGCGACATCTTCAGCCCAAAGACGGCCTCGATGCACTTACGCGCCGACTCCTCCTCAGCGCTCGGCTCTATCACGTAGGTGCCGGCCTCACTGTGCAGGTCCTCGAGGCCGTCGGGCGAGTCCTGCGGCAGCGCCCTCTGGGGGGAGAGCATCGAGCACTGGGCCGTCGCGCGCGACTCGGGCTGCAGTTGAAATTCGTGCTTCGAGCCGGCGTGGCGAGTGGCGCCACCTGCCGGGGCGCTTCCCAACCTCCTCTCGCCCGCAAACATCTTGTTCAGCAGGTAGGACTTGGTCGACTTCAGTTCGGGCGCGGTGGTGGTGGCGCCCCCTGCCGGCGGTGCCTTTTTCGCGGGCGGCTCGGGTTTTGCCGGCGCGGTGGTCACCGCTGCTTTTCTGCTCTTGTAGTTGGCCAGCTGCTGCTCCAGCGTCTTGTGCTTTTGCACTGTCGACAAAACAAACGCGTGTTGATCACATCCATTAATTACCAATGCTAATAATGCTTATAATAATACTAATGCTGCCTAATGGGGTTAGCCGCTAGAAACAGTTGCCGCTGGAGGGCAGCACATCTGTAGAGGTGCAAGATTATCCGCATACCCGGATGCACACCTGGGATACACTAATGGCGACATATGACAAACTTACCGTACACGCTCTAAAAGTAAACTTTATGAAAGAGGAGCGTCGACAAGAGGTCGCAAAGAAGATTTGATACAAAGGTAAGAAAAGTATGTTCCACGAAATACGTTGGGTTATGAGTGATAATGCACAATTTTGGCCAGAATCGGCGTGTGAAATCTCGGCAGATAAACGCTTTTAGAAGCGGCTTGTAAACACTGTCTTGGAACGCATTTTCCTACTGTATTATAGATGGAGGTTAAGAATTTCCTTCGCATTATTTGCTTAGTGTTAATAGTTATAGTGCTAATATCACACATACTTGTTCTCACTCATCCACAAATAGTGGTGATTAAACTGCTAATATCATCAAATAATTAAAATATTGTGTTCTATGATGAATATAGCAACAGCAGGCAGTCGATTTTGTATGGCATACTCGGCTTGCATGATTTGTAAACATTGATGTCTTTGTGCACAAAGCTTACAAGGTTAATTGTGGGTGGGACTTTACATACAGGGCTTTAGCTTCCTGGTCTGTGTAGCACACATACGGTTTACAGATTTTGATGTGCAGAGTAACAGAGTACGAGGAACCTTAGTGCTTTGCTTAGGTTTAGTTTCCTGTAGCACACACACAGTTTACAGATTTTGATGTGCAGAGTAACACAGTATGAGGAACCTTGCGTGCTCTGCTCAGTTTTAGCTTCATGTAGCACACACACAGTTTACAGATTTTCATGTATAGAGAGTAACACAGTATGAGGGACCTTACGTGCTCTGCTCAGTTTTAGCTTCCTGTAGCACACACACAGTTTACAGATTTTGATGTATAGAGAGTAACACAGTATGAGGGACCTTACGTGCTCTGCTCAGTTTTAGCTTCCTGTAGCACACACACGGTTTACAGATTTTGATGTATAAGAGGGTAACACAGTACGAGGGACCTTACGTGCTCTGTGTGCTACAGGAAACTAAACCTAAGCAAAGCACTAAGGTCTCTCGCACTCTGTTACTCTGCACATCAAAATCTGTAAACTGTGTGTGCTACAGGAAGCTAAAACTGAGCAGAGCACGTAAGGTCCCTCATACTGTGTTACTCTCTTATACATCAAAATCTGTAAACTGTGTGTGTGCTACAGGAAGCTAAAACTGAGCACACAGTTTACAGATTTTGATGTGTAAGAGAGTAACACAGTATAAGGGACCTTATGTGCTTTGCTTAGGTTTAGTTTCCTGTAGCACACACACAGTTTACAGATTTTGATGTATAGAGAGTAACACAGTATGAGGGACCTTACGTGCTCTGCTCAGTTTTAGCTTCCTGTAGCACACACAGAGTTTACAGATTTTGACGTATAGAGAGTAACACAGTATGAGGGACCTTACGTGCTCTGCTTAGTTTCAGCTTCCTCGTCTGCGGTGCGTCGCTCTTCGTGCTGTAGTCCTCCTCCTGGTCGCTGGCCGATAGCTGATTGTCGGACAGGTAGCCGGTCTCCTGCGGCGTGTGCTTGGGGCTTCCCCTCGGCCCCATCGACATACGCGACTTCTGACCTCTCACGAACGCCGGCTTCTGCTGAACAAGTCAAACGAGACAATGACGAGGACTGCACAAGGCTTCAACAAGTTTCCAGAGATTCAGAGGAGAGCCGATAAGAACATCATGACGCAAACATCGATCACTGGCAAGTGTCTCATTTACGAACATTCATTCATTGTAAAAATTATTGTACGAATCAATTTTATTGTATAAAATTTATTGCAGCTAATAACGGGTAAAATTATTACGGCAGGCATTTATCTGGTACACTAGATCATCATTAGGTTGGTATAGGTAGTAGGTAACAGGCAACGTTACCAGTAGGTAGGTATTAAATGGGGGTGATGACGTCGGCGTGGCACAGAGAGGCGACGTTACCTCGAAGCTCGTCCCGCATGCAAGATTCTTACTTACATTGTAAGATTATCATTACTTACTTATTGTAATTAAATATTATTTATTGCAGCTAATAATGGGTGAAACTATTACGGCAGGCAATTATCTGGTACTCTAAGACCAGGTTATCATTAGGTTGGTATTTAACGGGATGATGACGTCGCCGTGGCAACATTACCTCGGAGCTCGTCGCGCACGCCAGATTCTTCAGCGAGTCGACGCTCTTCGACGACGGCGGACCCGCGCCACCGCCGCTGCTGCCCCGCTTCTCGAGGATCTTCTCGAAGCGGTGCATGCTCTCCGAGACGGCGCTCTTCTTCGCGTCGGAGTTGTCGAACTCGATCGTGAAGGCGGCGCTGCGGCGCTGTCCGCCGCGCTGCAGCACGGTGATGCCACCCTCGTTCGTCAGATTCACCTCGCACGGCAGCGCCTCGACGGCAGCGGCGGGCGATAGCGCGCGTGCGGTGCCCGGCCCCGGGCCGGTGTCCTTCTGCGGAGGCGTGCTGCCAGTGACTCCGACTGCAAGCGTTCACGATCGATTATACGCGATTAGAGCAGTGGCATTTGAGATGATAATATATGATGCGGGCCCTCTTATCCATGAATATCGTAATTATGATTCCTTACCTTTTTGAGAAGGTGAGTCATGTGGTGAATTCTGATGACCATTTTGCTTGTGTAGCATTGACCCTTGCAGCAGCTCTTGGGAGAAAGGTGGGGATGTCAGACTATGACCATCAGACTGGTCTAGGGGTAGACTGGTAGGCCTTTCTGGTTTCTCTGCAGATTTCAAACAATGAAATTTTAAGTGTGAAATATTGTCGATTTTCATTGCAAAAAAATATGAAAACTAAACAGAACAATAGTAACAGCAAAAGTAACAGGAACAAATATACGACCGAGTACAATATAAGAGGGGGGAGAGGAATACGTGGAGGGTAAATGTAGCAATGAAGAAGAGAAACAACATATGGCAAGGAAGAAAAAAAAGAGACCAAAAGAAAACCCCTTATTATACAAACAAATACGAATGTTTTTGGGAGGTCACAGAAATACGATCACATTCATACGAACATTTACCTGGAGAACCTGAAAAGCTGACGGGATTCACAATAGGTGAAGATGTCCGAACGCAAACGACGTCAGTGACCTTGGTAGGTGAAACCGTTACTCTGGGGCTGCCCGGCCCACTATGTGGGGATCCTAGGGGCGAGGTCTGAGCACCCTTCTCATCCCCTTCTCCCCACCATGCAGGCTGACCATACAAGGGCGTCCCCCGAGGTTTAGAGCTGGTCTCCGGTGGGCGGCGTGGCATGCTGCTGCCCTCTGTGTCAGAACAAAGTAAACGAATTAGCGACAGACTTGAAACACAGCGTCGGGAAAAAATGCCAAAAATGCCTTGCGTGTACAGCGACGCCTTGGTATCACATCACATACAGCATACATGTTTTTAGTGCGAGTCTGCAGCATGCTGGATACAGTGTATATTTGGATAGCCATGCACATCACTTCACCCAGCTAGGGCGTAGCGACTGCATGTAGACTACTCACACGATTACATGCCAGTCACATCAATGGTTAACCTTCTCGTCAAATTTCCTAAAAGAGTTTAGAGCAACAGAGTGTTGCAAGGAAGAGAGACAACTGAAGCAATATAATTATGCTAAACAACTCTTAGACACCGGTGATTTGTTTATTATGCGATAACACGGATAGCTAAAGTATAGAGACAGCTCTCCTGATGTAGATTCAGATATCAGAAGCCTGACTGCTCCTAAGAAACCATTCCTTAAACCTCTTCTACACACGGAATCCTCCAATGAATAACATGGGCTTTAGGCAAAGCCACACGGACACTTCCCCCTGTGCTTGTGTTCTGCAAGCTGACATGGAGTCTAAACACCATGTGGCGCATGTTGCGTTCATGGCACCGGCATACAGACTGGCGTTGTACACATGTGGTGCCTGATAATTGCGCACTCATGCTGAGCTGAGATGCTGGGGGGATACACACACGTGTGTCACCACCAGCAGCAGTGCACGCACACACTCCTCCACCTCATCCACTGGATTCGCATTAAAAATGGCATCCTTACAGTTACAGACCCCGTTGCTTTTCTCATTACCAGAAAAAGCAGTAACTACACTTGGATTACATCATGATGTTTCATTTTCGCCTGTAAAACTAGGACGTGTGACATGCTTATAACCCATGTAGAACTGCTAAGTTGTAGCTACTAACGTATACAGAGCTTTGCATGTAAAGCTTTCCCGGTAGAAAGACAGAACATTAACTGACTGTGTACAGAACGTGAGACTGTGGAGATGGGTGGAAATGGGAAACTTGGATAGTTTGTGACATCCTAGCAGCATATGATGGTTATTCGCACGTTACTGTTGACTGCACTACATCAACATCTCACCTTTGTTGGTTTGGAAACAGCAGTGAATTCCATAACGCTCTGCTCACTTCCGCAATTCTATGCACTAATAAACCTGAACAGTTGCTTTCTCATTATAATTGAGATGTCAAGTGTATAAGTAGGCACACGCACAGCGTCCAACTCGTGGCGACTACTGATTCAAGTCTGACCTACGGTCATCCGTAAACGGAGTTTGCCAAACACATGCCAGTACAAAATTGCACAAGTTTTCCACAAAAGATGGCTGTATATATGGTTTCAGCGCTGGCGTCTTTTAATAGTTTAATTCACAACACGAAGCAAAATACACTCGCCCAACTTGCCATACGACGGCTATGGCTACAAGTACAACAGACAAACTACGGAATGGCCGAGAAGAAGAGGAAATGCGATCTTGAGACAATAACTTCTTCTCTCTCGTTTACTTCAAAACTCTCGTGCGCTAGGAACACGTTCCAGAACTCTACATGTAATTGCACAGGCGCGTGACACGTAAAACCACGCACTACAGGCTCCTTCGAAAACTTCACAGCACTTCATCATCACAGTACATCCAAGTAAACGACAGACTGTGGTCCGAGGAACAACACAGCCTGATCTAGAACCGCAGAACGACAACCGATCAAAGGTTATTTTGGCTTGTCGTCTCAAAACACGAGCATGATAGGCGCAGTTAGACTTCACAGAGAACATGCAGGCTAGCATCTGGATTGGGGATGCTGTAGAGTGCCAGCTCTGGTATGCACGGGCATAAGAATTCCTAGGCAGAGGTGGGGGGTATGGTGGCAATTGAAAACGTATTGAAAGTGTGAACCTACTAAGACATTATAGGCATAAAATGACACACCGGAATGTTGAATACTGCCATTAGGACTACCACAGATTTCAAGAAAATAGCAAAAAAGGGAATTTAATATTACATGTGCTCTGTCCTTTGCAACCCCCTACCTACAATCTAAAGTATTCCAATTGCCAAATGCCAGCAATAGTAAGCGCAGCAGCTAGTAACTGTAGTGGTTGATGGGAAATTCCTTTGATAATTTTTGCAAGAACAACTGTACCATGAAGTAAAAGATAAAACAAATTGGGTGCCAGTTAAAAAAATCTTGGAAAATTAACAGCTATTTAAACCGTCTCAGGTTTAAAAAACACTATACCATCTCGTGAGTTATTTTTAGTGATGGATTAATGGCATATTAACAGCAACATTACCAAAATATCAAAGCAGAATCATAAAGAGAAATTAAATGCGAATTTGGGGGTACCTAAACCTACGGTTAGAACTGTTGATACATTAGGCTGGGTGATAACCAAAATATGAAAACACACGAAAAATAAAGTATTGCTCGCAAGAAACGTGTACTCAAGTTCCCTTTGTAAACACGAAGAAGTAAAAATATTTTCTCTGTATTCTTCAACAAACGTGGCAAACATATGAGCTGCTCACTACATCTGTTTCAAAAACTGGTGATTTTGCAGTTAGCACTGGTATTAGTTGTGAAGGTCATACGGTGTATCAAATTTTTTCAGGGTTTCAAATAGATCAAGATTTGTAAAATGTCCTAAATCAGTTAGAACGGAAAAGCAGGTCAACTGTGGGATAGAAAATTCAATACTCAGCCATTCACACCACACACACTGCAGTCATAAACGAATTAAGACTGAAGGAAGCTTGCTGACCTCTAGGAGACGTTTGTTTAACTACAGCAGTAGCATGCAGTCGGCAAGATAAACAAAGTTGGTGACACCATGCAGTGGCGGATGCAGGGGGCACAGGGGGCGGTCGCCCCCCCCCCTAGAATTTTCAGGGCAAGGGTATTTTAGTCTAACCTCAGGCGCTTCGTGCCCTTGAGCTCGCACGATTTGCCCCCCCCCTCTAGAATTCACTTCTGGATCCACTGCCCCCACTGCCATGCAACTGGGAAGTCATTAACTCACCGCTATCGCTTTTCCCGCCAGGGGACAGCACGGGTGTCAGCGATCCCTGCGTCGTCGCATCCTGCAGCGGAGACGAGGACGATCGAACCATGGAACTAAAGTCCGCGCTGACCTCCTTCGTCGGCACCGTGTCGCTACGTTCGACCTCCTCCTTCCTCTCGACGTTCCTGACCTCCGCAGGCAACGAGAGGAACGCCTCCGATGCTGCACCGGCGCACTCTATCGAGCGCGAGCGTCCGGCCGAGCTGGGCCGCGAGCTCGGCTCCGGACTCGGGGCGTAGCCACTGTCATGGCGGCTGGCGGCGTCGCCGCTCTGGTACGCGGCGTGCTCAGACCAGTCAGCGGCGCGGGGGTCGCCGCGTGGGTCGCCCCGTGGATCGCCGCGTGGGTCGCCCCGTGGGTCGCCCCGTGGGTCGCCCCGTGGGTCGCCGCGCTCGTACAGCGGGCGGTGGCCCCCGCAGCAGCCGTGCGACGAGTCGTGGTGGTGGCGGCACGCGTCCCAGCCGTGCAGCAGGTGCGCAGGCGGCGCGTGGTACCTGCTGTACGGCGGCGGTGGCCCAGGGGGCGCCACCGACTTCACATCATCCTTGGGCGGTTCGGAGCCGTCCATGGCGGTGGGCGGCTGTGACGGTGGTGGGCTGTCCTTGTGCACTGCCGGCCCGCCTCCGTAATAGTAACCTGTAAGCACAGCATTGCTTGGATTAATTCTAGTTATCTAGAGTTAAGAAATCTATTTATATTTATAACATAGCCTACTAAAGCAAATTTGTTCCCTGCAATGGAAGAAATGTACACCAGGTTCCTTAGAACATGATCAATGGACAGTAATTCCCAAATTCTCAATGACACCAGGTAAATGTACACAAATGGATATGTGGTACTCAATTTGGATATGTGGTGGTTAACTATCCTGAATAGTTGGCACTGTAAAAGCGTGTGAGCAACTGCTGCCCCAACTAAGAAACTTGCATGAGTCAGAAGGCACAGTTCCGCCAATGGCCATTACCAAAGCTGTGCCAATCACATTCAGCTACACGCTGCATGCCAGGCCTTCTGTTAACATTGATTAAGCTACTACACTTGGCACAGCTCGTCCATGCAGAAATGTGTCGCAGGATCTCACATGCACTTTGATAACGAATGTTACCAGAGGAAGATCAATATCCTCAAGGAGAAATTTCATACATAATAGCTAGTGATGCATCACATCCACAACATCATTGGTGAACGTGAAGGCAGAGAATGTATAACATCCAGAACATCACAGAAAGTATATTGCGTAGTATTTATTATATTCAGGGACACATACATATCCAACCTGAACCCCATTAAATTGTAAGAATCTTTAAACAATGCATAATACAATGAACCCATGTACAACCCAATATTATGATAATACTAAACAGTGAATTCATGAATTCATAAATTCATTAAAGAGGGCAGCACCTGCTTACATATCAACGAGAACGTTTCCTAAGGGAACAGTGAGCAGCTAGGAGAATTTCACAGGTTGAATGCAACTGCATTCATATACAATTAGTTGTTATTGCTCTAAATCGTTGATTCCAAACATAAAGGATGCATTCACTGGCACTGAGCATCTATTCCTCCATTGCAGTTACAGATGAATGCATCTAGAATACACATTGCTTGCAATGTTCCGAATGCAAAGTGGCAATTAAAACTCGGCGAAAATTCATTACAATTTTGTCTTTTATGTCAATTTATGTTCCGTAAATAAATGATTGCTAGTATTCTGCTCAGTCTTATGAAAAGAATTCATGAATCCCACCTTACTGTATTAAGCGACAAAAAATAAATGGTGTGACCACTAGATAACAACAGAAAGAAAGAACTCACTGTAATGAGACAGCAGCCAACTTCAGTTAGACTTCCTACCAGTTGATATTCTTTGCTCTTTCTTAAACCAGCTAAAGACTGTCATTCCATACAGTAGCACATATTGCCAAGACACTCACCATGAGGGTGGTGACAAGAGCAGGGAGGTCCATACGTTGGTGGCGGTGCATAGTAAGAGTGTGGCTGCTTCAGTACGCGTGGTGGGGACGGACGCACATGCCGATGATAGTGGTGATGGTACTCTTCCTCTATACCGTAGGGATGGATGGCTGGATCGTGGGCGTACCCCTGCCGAAGAAAATCAATAATCAGCCGCTGACATTCTACTCGAGCCTTTAGACTTTTTTTGCTTGATAACAAATAAAGATGTTAAGCAAAAGAAAAAAATCTAATTACTTCTTTGTTTTTGACACAGTTAAAAAACCAAGGACACAGAAAACTTTCTGTTTCTGTTTCAAAACGTGACTGTAATATGCACTGCAAGTTTACAGTGTGGGTGATAATGATAGTATCACTTCATAGTTTAATAAAAGCACTCGATGTAAACGAACACAAAAATTTTATACAAAAATACAAAGTGCTGTTAATCATTATTTTGTACAGACAAGGAGAGAGGAGAGAAAGATTAGTAATGACTGTATACAGTTAGTCCTTGATGTGTTTCCTAGCCCGTTTACTGGAACAATGATTAAATTCTCGAACAATTGATATATATACATTTATGATACTACTTTTCGTGCGAAAACCATGAAATACACTTTGAAAAGATTTTACTTCATTGACTCCAAGCATGTTTGAGTTGCACGAACGTGTATGTATGTTCGTATGTGTGTGCATGCACGTGTATGTATGTTCGTGTGTATGTGTGTGCATACACGTGTATGTATGTTCTGCATAGCACAATTATATTATACATTGCAAGAACCCCCTCCACATATGACATATAGCTTGCCTTAATTACTTATACCTTCATGTGCCCTCAAGAAAACATTTAGTACCTTTCCATGAATAAGTATGAAATGTTATTTAATTTTTCAACCTGACTAAATTGTTTTGTGGATTTTGACATCCAAAGTAGATACAGCCTGTACTATCATCAGCATTTTGGTAAATTCTTGTTTAAAAAAAAAAAATCAGAGTTATGTAATAAATAGGTCACAGCTTTACACCAAGTTTCTTGCAAATTTAATATGCCCATTGACCGTTATGTTCTAAGCTACATTATTTTTTCCACTATGATCATATGCCATGTACATAAAGTGCACATTTCATTGGCAAGTAGTGGATTATGTCAAGAACTGCAATGCTACTTCATAGATAGTCTTCATATAATAAAATAAAAATAAAAAATGCATATCCACACTCCACAGTAAACACCATGTATGCATTCAACACATTAAGTCATCATCGTTTAGGCATGGTAGACTAGATCAGGAACGTTGTATCACGTTGGTATTAGGTATGGCTAGGGCCGCTCTATAAGATGACAATCAGTATCACCTGGTATTCGGGGTAGCTCCAGCATGATGGGTTATCTGTAGGCCCCAGTTCCTCTACCCTCTCCTCTCTCGGACTTGGCAAGCCTAGGACACAAAGGTGCACGTCAGAAAGATTCAACATAACCTGACACCTAATTTCATTTTTAGTAAAACACAGTTATCAAGTTCGTAGTGAAATGATTTCTAAAGACAAAAAAAGGTTTTCCTTATGCTGCGTTTACACTATCGATTTTTGTCAGCAAATCGTTCCGATTTCAAGTACATTCCAACACAATCGGCTGAAATTCGATTGTGTTGGAGTTGGAGTCGGAGTCGAAGTCAAGTCGCCGAGTTGGAGAAATAGAACGTGCTCGGCCGACTCCGACTCCAACACAATCGAATTTCAGCCGATTGTGTTGGAATGCACTTGAAATGCATTGCATGCAGTGTAAACGCAGCATTACTCTAAAATCTGAACAATTATTCTCACATTCTGTCTGATACTGTTGTGGTGATTGTGTTGTTAAGCTAAATGTATGCCATAGTAAAGGAAGAAACATGTGCTATCGCACAACATAAGCAGACAACATATTTCTACACTTTTCAGTGTATTAGAGAGTCAATACAAAGACAATCTCTATACCGACCTTTCATACAGTACTGAACACGCAGACTGTGACACTAACCGTTGGCTTGTGTTTTGTAGTCCTTGACAGGGGAAGGGAACTGCTCACCACGTGACATCGTCACCGGGCGCCTGTTGTCCATGCCGAGAGTTGACGTCGGACTCGTTGCTGGCATTGTCGTTCCGGGCGAGAGTGGCGCACTGTGCTGGCACGCCGATGCCGAAGAATCAACAAACTGGACGCGAAAGGTTGTCGAATGTTCGGGGGAAGGTCAAGGAAAACGACGGCGCGTTAGATTGTTAATAATACGCCTAGAACACGAGAAGCATCTCCCAGTTCTCCATACTTGCCGAATGACTGTACACATGTAAACATGCACAAAACATTAGTTCATGTCTCTAATTGTCTATATGGAGCTCCAGCAGCTAGGCTACTATATTGCAAATTTGCCATAAAAATTTTTAAATGTGGAGTTTATAGCAGAACTCTGGGAAAATTCGTCTAGAAATATGTTGGACAAAATCTCTAGTAATGGGTATGATTATTTGCGTGTGAAATTATAGCTCGATTTGTCGCAGGAAGTGTAATTTGTACATTGTATTTAAGGAATTTGTACAAGGAACAAACCAGTTTTCAGTCTGCAAAATTCCTTCCTACTCAGACCGATCAATTCTCTGGCAGAATGTAGACAGTATTTCTGTGGCACGCACGGCTACATACCGACTATGAGCACACAGGCAGTACACACGCGGGTACACATGAGGCATATCTTCCATGATACGTGACCGGAGCCTAAATTCTAGCCTTTTATACCAGAGCAACAAAACGATCCATTGTCATAATAATCGGTGACCATCATTTGCACCCTGCCTAGCAACTTACCAGGCAAATCACTCTCATTAGCTTACAACGATCCGTAAGGTGACACAATGGTTCGAACATATACATAATTCCTGTATAATTACAATACCTGCTCTAAACTATATCTCTCTATCTACTTATAGTGACAGGATAAATTCATCGGCTGTAACCTACCTGTCGAGTTAGACACAGATTACCTGTACTGACTAATCCTATACTGCGACAGACAGGAAAGCAAATCAAAGCTCTATTGCAACCAATACTACCATTACAGTAAATGCAAGTATGGCATGGTAAAACAACCCAAATAAGCAATCATAACCCGACATTGTAAGCCCGACAAGTACAGTCTAGATAATATTTTCATAGACAAGCGTGAAAACACTTGAAATTGCTCAAACAACCAACTTTTTCAACCTAACCAACAAGAGAACACCCGAGCCTCAGGTAAAACGGCAATATTCTCTATGATGTCCAATATTCTAATGATCGAGTCCAGTTCAGTTCAAGTCAAGGAAAGCCCATGAACTCTATACGGACCTCAATGGCATAGCAAGAAAAGAACGCACACGGGTGATACTCCATTAGGAGTGTTCCCAACTTTAATGTCATTAATGGTCATAATAAAAAAAATATATATGGTCATGGTCATATATTAGTTTGTGGTTTAATGTTATTTAGGTTAGGGTTAGGGTTAGGGTTAGGATTATCAATTATCAATCATTAATCATTAATCATTAATCATTAATCATTAATCATTAATGATATCAAAGTTTGGAACACTCCTAATGGAGCGTTAGCCAAATGCACAGTAAATAAATGGCAACAACATTAGGTTAAGTTACAGACACCCCCATTAAATAAAGAAATATAAGAGCCACAGTGTAACCAAATTACCACCGACTTGCTTTGAATACAGCAACAACCTCACCAAATCTAACATCCTGAATAAGCACATCTCACCCAAACTAACTAGAAAAGATACTACAAAAATGGCAATTAACGGCCAGCAATCCTAGGGTCTATAACTATATATAGGCCATCCAGCCCTAAAATGTACTCAATCCAGATTACATATCAGTCCATCAGCTAACAGAATATAGATGGATTACACCCGTTTTTTAAGAAAGATGAAAGTGTAAAATCGCGTAGGGACGTGTCCCTGACATCCATTGACTGCAAGACTTTAGAGCACATCATTCACACCAAAATCATGAACCACCTGGATGGATTACCCGTACTGTCGGATTACCAGCGTAGAATCTGTGAGCAGTGACCCTGTGAGACAGTCATGCTGGTAAACATACAAGCAATCCTGCAAGTAAGTAGCAGGTTATACACGACACAAGACAGACTGACGAGATATCGTTCGATCTTTCAAAGACTTTCAAACGATAACCGACACATAAGTAGTTGTTAGACTGAGCCATTGTAGTATCTAAAGGAAGACTCATACATGACTCGTCCCAGATTCATGCTGTTGTTAAACCAAATACCTTCGAGTGTAGGTCCACAACTATGCTGTCTGCATTTTTGCTGACGCCTGCCTTCTACACTGACGTACAAATTCAGTAGAACTCCCAGTAAAACTGGAATAAGATCAGCAACGCACACAGCTGTCGGAAGATACTGTCCCATCACGTTTAAAGCCATCACTATCACCGACAGTTGGAATGAGAGAGTTGGCAGCCAGTGTTGTAGTTGAGTCCGCACCCCCTGAGTCCGAGTCCGCACTCCCCGAGTCCGAGTCCGAGTCCGAGTCCGCCACCCGAGTCCGAGTCCAAGTCCGAGTCCACACAACCCGAGTCCGAGTCCGAGTCCGAGACCAGTTTTGATTAAAAAAAGGGGAAAAATAGGAAAAAGAGAAAAAATCAGAAAAAAAGAAAAAAGAGAAAAAATCGCATCAGTGCATCGTAGACATTCGAAAGTGTATAGTCAGCCGAAAACACAGAGACACGAGTCATACGAAACGTGTCAAAGTAACGGATCCATTGTGTGTTTTACGGAGAATGCCACGGCTTGTTGAACCAAATTGAGAGAGTGATAGTACCTCGAAGTGTAAGAAGAAGAGAAAGAAGTGGTAGAAAAAGCGGCAAAGGGACGAAGTGACAGCAGATTCAAACCAAAGAGACAAGAATCTTAATCGAGCCATTGAAAACGTTACAAGATTAGACCATGTATCTAGAAAACCTAGGAGTTTTAGTTTTAAATTCTTGTAAACTGCGTGTTACAATATGTACGGTTGTGTACAATGTATGTATGGGCTCGAACCCGGAGTCCTCGAGTCCGAGTCCGAGTCATTGCACTCCGAGGCCAAGACCGAGACCGAGACCAAGGAAAACGGTCTCGAGGCCTACAACACTGTTGGCAGCGGAAGGCTCGCAACAGCAAACGCATTGGTATCTTCTTAGACAGCAGGATGACACAGAACAGCCATGTGGCCAAGATCATGATGAAGGCCAATATCATCAGAGAATTACTACTGAGCTTCAGTAACTGTACACCTGTTGAAAAGATGTGTTCCAACATCCTGCACTTTTCCCTGTTCTGTCTATGTTCACGTATTTATTCCTTGTGTGTGGATATATCATACCATGCACAGAGACAAAAACTATATATAGACAACTAAGCAAGGTCAACAAGGTCAAGACCATATGCCATGTAGGAGGCAGAACACTGCCTCAATTCAGCCAATTCTAAGATTAGCTCGTAGATCCTAAGATTGATGGCAGTCAGTGAATGGAAGCAGAGACATAACTGTGGGAATGACAATGCAATGGCATGCAAAAACTGGGTAGAAACTCTAGTTAAGTGACTCAATGGGTTCTTCAAACGTTGAATATTCACTGGAGATGCTTGTCAACTCACTCCAAATGAAATAGTGATCCAGGGATTAAAAAGAACTGTTATAGAAGATTGTCCATAACCAAGATGACATCAATATCGATTATCATATTGCCGATTATCCAAGCCAGTGACCAGCAGTTCGTTTAAACTATGAAATTACTTAAGATTACAAGCTTAGTTAACCGAATTATTTAATACAATTAGATTATGATTTCCCTTAGTCTTTCTTCCGGTAAATCATCACAAGCAGTGTAGTGCTCCAATAAAAAGGATATCATATCCAAATCGAACAAGGTCATTGTGGTCCATCTTCACGTACGTCTGTAGTGGGATTCTTGTCTCATTCACAAACGTCTGCAAGTAGAACAGGATACGTACTGTGTGTTTCGCGATGACGGATAAATATCTAGATTTGTATAGACACTAATATGTTTATACCAGGAGTAGATTAACACAAAAGTTAATTTCTGCCGGCTTATGTGTTATAAATTTATCAAGCTTTATAGTTTTATGACATTCAAGACAATTTCCAGTTTACTTCACTGAATCAATTTCCACTCTTTCTTTGAAAAAAAAAACACTTAGCCAAAAGCACGTTTTTCTATACTGACACTGTAACACAGGATATGATACTTTGTTGCATCTATTTGGATTATCCTGAGCTAGAAATTGTAGATTATCATAATCCGCAAAACCCTATCAGATGACCTCAATAAGATAGCACACAGAAATAACAACCTACATACATTTAGTCATTAGGAAGAATAATAAATAACATGCTTATGTGCGGAGAGCCACGCTTCCTGCGCGCTCGCCAAAAATAAAAAATTCCATCGTTTCAGATTTCCCAGAAAAAACAGTAGCGAGTGGATAAGTAAACTTTCAGCATGTATCCGATGCAGTGTTTATACTCTTGAGAATTCAGCATAGCTGGGGACGGGAGATTCGGCAGCTGTGAGGTGAAGTAACAGCCGGTCAACTGCCACGGCTTGTGTCGTTATGAGACCTACTCTAATTCCACACAGTGTAAATGTATGACCACAGCTTCCATCTCCTCTTCCCCAATATTATCTCGTGCCACGTTGAAATGAAAACAACTCGTTTTTATCGTCCAACGCCGGTAAAAGGAAAGCATAGCGTGTGCACGGATACTCTTCCAATCACACCACGAATGTTATGCCACTGTACTTTTGTAACAAGTCAGTAATTAGCCTCTGGCGCCGCATATATGCAAAGAGACGTCTGTTAGAAGAATAAACCAGGTGCTGTTTTTGCTAATGACGGAAGCATTTCGTTTTTTCACTTAACAGTGAAGCCATTAGGCATTAGACATGTAGTGGTTGCTGTAGCAAAACTTCCATGTAATTCTAGCACAAACATTTATTTACATACGTTCATACACTTTCCTTTACATCAGCATCCATACAAGAGGATGAACTTGTACGCTGAAATTTATTTTGCGGGTGTTTCGGCAGCATGATGTATCCGCATCACAAGGAAGGATAACATTATAGTTACGTGATCTTGCAATATGTACGATCATTAACTGCTACTTCTCTCTGGACCACTGTTGTTGTTCATGAATTGTTCATTGTTCAATTGTTCATGGTTTGTTCATGACTGTTCATGATTTCTTTGTTCATTGTTGTTGAAACTACCTAGTTTTCTCACTCAGGGTTCCAGTCAATCAGATAAATCTACAGACTGCAATAGCATGCTGCAAGTGTGCCACCTGAGGAACGAATCCCGCCGGCACACTCCACACACCTTTCACCGAATGTCTACAATACGTGCGGTTTGGTCTATGACCTAACTTGCTCCAACTTACGACAAGATAATTTTGCACTTTCTGCAGTTACTCCAAGAGAGGAACGTGTTAGATCGCGAGGCTGAGCTGCTATATTGCTGAGCACGTGTTACTATGCCACCAAACACCATCTGCCGAAAAGATTCTGATAGTTCTGTTAAAAGAATTTCCGCCCGAGAAGCCGTTTGAGTTACGCACAGTGCACAGATATCAGCTGATATCTTTCCGATGATCTAACAGTGTAAAAACTCGTTCGCAGACAAGCGCAACTTGCCAACTATAAAAACGCGTGTCAGAATTCTTTTGAAGCCAGATCGACTTGCTCTAGTCCTTGCAATTTCTGGCAACTCCTCTCCCCCGCTGACTTTGTGACAAAAACGAGTGGTGGCTTCCCAACAGTTTTGCTCACAGTTTAACGCTATAGAGTATCCTCAGGATCACACACGCGTAGCGTCACGTTGCAACACATATCCATTCAATACATCAGACACAAAACATTTTTGCGTTAGCAATGACAATTCGCACTCAGTCCGCGGCACGCGTATATATATATATATATATATTCGCACTCAGTCCGCGGCACGCGTATATATATATATTTGCAGCTAGCGAACGTGATTTATACGTCTTTGTACACTATATGACTGCCTTAGAATGCAATAGAGTTCCGCAGAATAAGAACGGAACGTTGTTCCTGCCCTAATAACTGCCTTATTACTCAGCTGGCTATACATCTTATTGATTTCATTCCGCTATTTCTGTGTGGCATCAATTTATTTGCACAAACCGCACCAAAATGACGACTCATAAAACCATGTAAAAACCTTCTTGCATGGTAAAACGTTGGCCTTCACAAGGCTTTCTTATGAGCTGTCTCCACTCTATTGCTACATCTAAACACGTATATCACCATGAAGTCTGGCTTTCACCATTCATTCACATCACTAATCTCGCAGGCAAGTGTAAATAATCAAATTCCTAGCGAAATGAATCACCTCAGATTTTCCACTAGACATGTGAACGAAAGGATCAGGCTTCAATAAACCAGCCAACCTTTTAGCATTTCGCTTGAGTGGCAGTTAAACAGCAGAACCACCTCATATATATATCATACAGCTGTCTATAAAAGATGCTATTAGAATTTTACTTTAGTCAGATATACAGTGAAATTACCTCTACAGAACGTATACCTGTCTATAAATTACACTGTTGAGGTTTCACGTGAGTAACATCATATATACAGGTTTGGCTGTATTTCTAAAAGCTTATACTATGGCCATTGGCCCTCACCCTCGCCCCACTATCGTAAGGTCTGCGCACTTCTGATAACGTGTGAACAACCCCATTAATAAACAATATGAAAATAATAATTTAAACAGACAAAGAAAATAACGAGCCAAGACCTGTTGATGTAACTGTGGTTACAAAATGCTCAACTTCGTTCGATAATTCTGGCATATTGAAAACATTTCGTGACTTATAAATACTATGCAACTACGCTCAAAGCAAGTAAATATAATTATAATTTTAAATCGAATTAAAGCTAAGCTAATCTAAATTCAATCTACATTTCGTTGTGAGGCTAAACCGGATTAATGGCATACCCCATTTGTACTGCTGAGATCCTTCACTCGTAACTTGTTGTCGTAATGGTCGAACGTGATCACAGCATGTCGCTTGTCCACGCTCCTTGACTGCATGCAACAGTCAACACATCATTTACTACAGCCAGTCAATACTCAGAGATTCCGCAACTGTACGCACACATGAAAGCATGTATAGGCGCGCATTCAGGCACAGACAAGCATGCAACCGCACACGCACGCACGCACGCCTGCATGCACGCACGCACGCACGCACGCACGCACGCACGCACGCAATTCCATCATGGAAAACTTTTGAAGCACATTGGTGGAATAATGGCCATTACTAACCAGAGTTATGTGCCATTGAATGCATCGGGGCTGTTATGAACCTGCTAGCATTACCTAGACTGATTCCAATTAAATTCACTTACTTTGCCTAAATACACTAAATGTACACAAACTGTTAGTTATATGTGTATATAACTACTCCTCTCTCTGGCATCTGTTCATCTACATGAGATGGTCGATATGCAGCAACATGTCATATCTGGTGAGGCCACTCAGTTGTTCATGATGCACTTCCGTTGCTGGCTGTACAGGCCCATTCTACTACTACGATAGATGTATAACTGTATATCATCCACTATCTGAAGCACCATAATGCGTGGCTACATCTAGCTGGGGGCGCTTTCAGGGCTCCCCCCATATCTCCCTTATTGGTGGTGTTTACCCCTAAACCTGGTTGGCCTATACCTGAATCTGCCAATGCTCCTACCTGCAGTATGATGTCACAATCTTCACGGCCGAGGAATACCATGGACTCGGGTAGCTTGTGTATCGTGCCATTAAGGTCATTAAGGCACCAGTAGGGCAGATTACTAGAAGACATCCTCCTCTCATTCCTCTGCAAGCAAAATACATAACGTCCATTAATTAGCGACATCATTAACGTAATGACAAATGATCCCAAAATTGAAGGATCTGTGCATGATTACGTGTAACTATGGGAAGAAGAAACATCATTAAAGCATGACAGCTGGCCAACACGGGGAAAAATAAACCATTTGGCAGCAATACTTCTATCAAGATCCTATCACGTAAATTGATGGACCTTGCATGATGAAAATACCGCAGGTCCGTTTACTATCCCGACTCGGGGCTACTATCGTGGCAAGTGCTGCTATTGAACTGTTTACATGAATACATGCATGGTCAGCTGGCACTGAAAACAAACATATACTCAAAGTAAGCAGCATGATTGATATTCAGCAAGTTGGGTCCCCGCTTCTTTTGATAGAAGTAGTAATCTTTCATTGCAACTTGGCAAATGTCAGGCTAAGTTCATGGGATTACAACCACATTTCTTTACGGCAGTACGTTCGCTACACTATAATCATCAGTGTCATAATATAGTCTATATAGTGACAATCCTGCTGTAATCACCACTCACTGGTCCACCTTCCAAGACTACATTATCCTGCCGTCTGTTTGGAATATGCACCAAACTAAACTAAATTACTACATAGGTGGATTTGCTTGGTCATGACAGAGCACTCACTATATAAAGACAGCTATATGGTGGTGGCAGTAATGTGGCAATGTTCCACTTATTTTATTATGGAGTTTTGCGAGCAAACTCCGGTGTCAGTGACACGAGTAAAACCAGCATTTTATCAGGCACAGCATCTTCTCAGTTTCACCCTGACTGATCAAATTGCTCGACACTTTATAGACAAACACTAATTCAAAATTCAAAAATGCACTCTTAACTATAACCATCTGTCTTAGTGATAGTGCTTTTGATCAATGCTTATGCTATCTCGGAGACACTAGAATGATGAGATAAATATACAGTATTTTTCATTCAATTGAGTACATGATAATCGTAGGGTTATTTGCTTATAAACTTTATGGACTAATACAACAGTAGCAAGGAAGTAGAGTCAGTGTAAGCGGATTAATTGCAGTGTAAACACGTACGGTGGTTGGAACTAGCAGCAGCACACGCATGCGTTGCTGCATTCAACTGCGTCATTCGCAGTTCAACAAACTATAATTCGAATGCTTACACAATAGAAACGCGCACTCCCTCGCACGAGCTCTCCCGACCAGCACCTGCTAATTCATGCGTACACGGGCAATTAATTCAAAACGTAAGACATGTCACTACCCTCTTAGATTTCAAAAAAGCAGATCAGCAAGCGAGCCGGCACAGCAAATATTGATTCTACAGTTAAATCTTTTACGCTCGTTTTTGTGATCTCTGTAAACAGGGCGCTCATACGACCCATACCCATGTAATTGTTACATCAACTTCATGTTTTCTTGTGAATACAAACGATTCTTCACAACCAATTTTTAACTTAATATTACTTGATTTACGCAACCGGGACGACATATACAACCGATTCTCGTACAGAGTGCATGGGCTCCCAGCGAATAACATGCCTGCATGCTGATATGCTGTAGTACCACCACGAATCTTAGATGCGCGTGAATAGGTTCATTTTATTACTGCCAAATTTCTATAGAAACTACTTGAACACGCGCGTACACACACACACGCACGCACGCACGCACGCACGCACGCACGCACGCACGCACGCACACACACACACACACACACACACGCGCGCGCGCACACGCACGCACACACGCACGCATGTCCACACGTAATTTAGCTGCATCGCTTATGAGCCGAGATATTACATATTACATAGAAAACTCACATCGAAACTAAAATGCTGCCCGTGAGCTCACGCCCACGAAACAAGTCACCTCAACAGCCAGTCACGTGAGAAAGCAAGACACGCAATCAACGGTAAACCACACAACGCTGTCAGTTTCGTGTATTACTCCTAAATACAACAACTTGCATGATCAATGCGATCCTGAATCATCAGATGAACTTGATCTTGATACTCATCGCATGATGTCAGCTGTTGTCTTTGGTGCGCTGCCTCCCCGACAACAGTCGCAAACCTCCCGCGACTTTAATATTCGGACAAATGTCAAGTATGTTCTTGCCCGACGAGGAGCAATGTGAATCCATACACTGATTGTCATGTTTGAAGTTCGAACATACATCTCCGTTTCTTCGCCCCATTAATTAAGCATGGACACCTTACACGACTCTTCTTCAGATAGCGTGGACAACCGAGGCTGGCAGTGATGCCACTAGCAAGCTCCAGGTCGTAGGAAATAACAGCATCAATATCTATGGAAGCTCGGGTTATTTATGACATATTAGGGTAGCTAGCCTATGTTGCAGGGGCACGCACGACATTTATATCGCCCGTAAACGTAAATTGTAGTTTATAATGATACAGTCAGGGTTACGGACAGGTACCTCTGTAAAGGGCATTGCAACATAACCGCTCATCAAATTCAATCAAAGTCATATCTATCTTACACGACGCATATGTACGCGTCTGCATGTATAATAACAACAAACGCTGCATTCATAGCAATCTATTATTTTAGGGGTGACGTTTAGTTTTCCCTTACCGACTCAGGGGTAGATGATAATATGTGTTGCCAGCGAATGGATGATATAGTGTCCCCGCACCTGCATTTATTTCTATCGACGTTTAAACAGGCGTGACAAGTATAAACGTCGTCAAAGTAAACAAGTTTAGCAGTATCATTAAGCTACTTATGTACGTAGTGTCTGTGTGCGCGCACGCGTGCGTGCGTACGTGCGTGCGTGCGTGCGTGTGGTGGGGGCTACCATGACGCGACTAGCCGTCTTTACACCGTGCAAAATATAAAACTTGAGCGAGAATACTAGACGTCACAACATGATAGTATCAAGCATCATAATCATCATAATTCATGATCTATCACGGTGGCCACGATATATCAACGACCGCTACTTATTACGCCGGGAGGGACAGGTAGAAATGTAGTGTGATTAGTGAACACCTACACAACAGTACTAGTACAACTTTGGAGATTTTCCATATCAGAATTCATAACGAGTAAATTTCTATAAGTAATCTATCGATATATAGGAATACCATAAGGATACGGGTAGTGATTTTAGTCTTGTTTTGAAGGTTCGAAATAAGGGAATAGAATTCCGAGTGAGCCAATTTAAATACTTGTGAAGTTAGTGTTGTGAAGCGTATAAAGCAGCAATGCAAATAGATATTACTAGCTTTTCAATGGTAATGTATGTACTGGAAACGTGCTTTATTAAGCAGTCCATGGTAGAGTGGCTGTAGTCACTGTTCAAACTTCACCCTCTCTGTCTATCATTTATGATGTCGGATTCAATGATTCTCAGACGATACTCGGATTCAATGAATCTCGCACGCTTCCCGGACTGATTATAATTCAAAACGGATGCGTTAAAATTTCCACTTACAGCTTACTTTCAGCATTACAGGTAATAAGTACCGATGGTTGTTGTATATAGTGACGACCCTATCTCACATGCGTCTGCTGCGTCTGTGTTGTGATAGTGTGTGTGTGTGTGTAATCGATCATCATGCTAGCGCTGCAACGTACGGAAGCAGGCTCCCATACAGGAGGCTCCCCGCGCACTCAGCTGCTGCTGCTGCTGATGCTGCTACTGATGCTGACGAAGCTGGCAGCTGTCACGCACCGCTAACATGCAGGCACATACTGTCACTCTGTCTCCCCCTCACTCTGTCCCTGACTCTCACACACACACACCACGCACGCACGCACGCACGCACGCACCGCACGCACGCACGCACGCACGCACGCACACACGCACACACACACACACACACACCACACACACAAAACACTCTCTCTCTCTCTCCTCTCTCTCTCTCTCTCTCTCTCTCTCTCTATATATATATATATATATATATATATAAATATATATATATATCTCTTCCCTTCTGCATATCCCTTTTCTATCTTTCTCCCTCTCTCTCGTTCGCGCGCTCATCACGCTCGCTGTATCACTTTCTTTCTCTACCCACTCCAGGGTGCGAAATGAACGGGAGTCCGAAGTCAAATACTCCCTGATTTACTGTCGGACTCCCTGATTTACTTTCGGACTCCCTGATTTGACATATGCAGGAGTCCGTGTGATTCCCTGACAATTCTGCTATACTAACTAGTTCGTTCCAGAGCACAGCCTCGCGGAATTACGTTATTTTTTCAGAAAATATCCAAAGAAAATGTGGCAGACGTGCATCGCATAAATCTTCAAAATAAGCACAATGCGTTATTGTTGTTATGCTTTAGTTTTTAACTTCAGACTGCGGACTCCCTCATTTTGCTGCGGACTCCCTCTTTTTGAGGGCAGGGAGTCCGTTGGACTCCCTTGTTCAAAAGTTAATTTCGACCCCTACACTCTCTCTCTCTCTCTCTCTCTCTCGAACCCGCCCACAGTGATCTCTGCTGATTTGTAGCCACGCAGAGATATCGGCGGACTTCAAAGTGGAGACTGGTAGCAAGCGCGTAGGTTCGCAGACAGCGCGACTTCACACGGATGGATATAAGCGTATAGTATGCAGGTCAACACACTTTCATTGTTCGCGGTTGGATGCGCGTGGACAGATATATTGCAGTTCTACGGGTACAGGATGTGAATGAGAGCAAACACTAGAGCGGTAACTACTCATTCGGACAGTTGTATGCGTGCAGGCTGGTGTTCGCTTCTAAATTCAGAAGGACGTGTACGGTGTACATATGATATCTCTTCTAAAACTCGTGTTCATCTTACTCCATCTTCATTCCCTACACAATACTTCTACTTTCTATCGTACATGATATCGGTGTGGATGTTATGTTAGATGCGGACGACTGAAATACTCGATGTCATCGCTGGCCTCGTGCCCACATGCTGAGCCTCTCATCCCAGCCATTCCAAAACGAATGATAAACCCACGGATCAAAAGATTATGAATCCAATTAAAAGTG